GCCATTTCTTTTTTTAAGGGGAGACAACAAAAGCTGTATTTCAGAGATGTAATTGTGATGATGAACACCTTGAGTCCAACAAATTGACCTAAATGCCATCTCATTGTTATGGACTGCATCATCATCCCTCTGGAGTCAGCATTGGGTAATTTGTCATACGAAGAAGTTATTTTTTCCGCACAAGGTGCTCCAAAATTACACTAAACTGCTTATGGAAACAGAAATAGAGACAGAGACTTCACACTGGAGTGAAGAGGACGAAAAAATGGAAAATATCAACCGTCTGTGAAAGAGTCCGAGGTCAGAGAATTATGTAAGACTTGTTGAGTATGGTTCTGATTATATATACCATTGTGAGCACAGCCATGACTATATCTGGGACACACAAGTAGGTCGTGCATGAAACCATGCTATCTACCGAAAATGGAAAAAAAATAAAATGAGGTTGGAAGTGGGATAGTATATTTCACACCTTTATTTATAGTGATAAAAAAAACATTTTATTTTTTGCATTCTAACATGAAATTGCAAAAAAGACTGTTAGTTACTTTAAGAATGATGATACAGTTTGTGTTATTTCTGAATATAATTTCAAGTCGAGGCACAGCCATATTCATTGTGGTACAATAGTGTTTGTTTTCCAGAGACAAACATGTTTTCCAATGTCTTCCCAGTACCAGCACAGCACATCCTGGATGGGTGACTCATTTAACTCAAATTCTGGCACATCCACTTGTGCAAACAGCTACAATGCTATTTGTTCTGGGATTAATACTTTTGGAAATCTCGCAATAGCGTCACAATGGAGGTGGTTTTACAATGGCAGCTCCTTAGACGGAGATCGAATCTCTGATCAATAGCCTTCAGATAGCTGAAATTAATTATGACGTGCTTTCGTGTTCAGCTGTCATGGGAACAACATCAGCAATAATTCACCTGTGCCTCTGGCACCATAGAAAAGGTGTTGTTTCTGCCTTGTTGTTTCTGGTTTGCTGCAAAACGCTCTAAAGTGTTCACCAGCTTGACGCTAACTTTGTTTTTCTGTCGTGTGGTGCTGAGAAGGTTGTGTCCTGAGGGTTAATGGAAGATTTTTCTGTGAAAAATGACCTGTTACGGCTGAACACTTGATCCGTGTAAGAACAAATGAGGTGCTTATTTGCTGGCTGTAGAATTGGCACAGCAATTTAAGGGAAAACCCGAGGAGTAACTGAAAAACAAATCACTCTTTGCATCCAGATTAGATAAATGAGATTTAGGTTTGTACGAAATAGCTTGATCCTTTCAAAAGGTTTGATCGAAGACGCAATGAGATTCCCCAACAAATGTGCGAAGACGCCTAATTATTTAGCAGCATTCAAACATCAGTTTGGCTTTTGTCACTGCAACCTCAGCGGTGGGTGGAGTGGCTGTTCGTAAAACAATGGTGACAGCTGGCACCAGGAATAGACAAATCAACACAAAGCAGAAGTGAAAATCTGTGGGCCTTCTGATAAAAAAACACGCTATGTACACTAATTTAAAAATGTACTTGCAATAGGTCAAAGGACCCCTAATATGGTGGGTCTCATATGTGACTAACCAAAAAAAAAAAGAAAAAAAAGGAGAAAAAAAAGGAAAAAGGAAAAGAAAAAAAGGAAAAAAGAGAAAAAAAGAGAAAAAAAAGGGGAAAAAAAGATGTGACTAACCAGAATACTAAAAGTGTACGTATGTCATGCTCTAGCTCTTTTTCTCATGATGTAGGCCTTTCTTCACCATAATCTATGCATGCACTTAGAGTGACGCATTTTGCTCATCTCTTAAACCCATTTAACAGCTCATTACACATCCGTGTTTCCCCCTCTTCTTCTCTGCTTCAGACTGTCCTCACTTCTTGGTCAGGTTCCATTTTCGCTAATGTCTTGGAAATGAGCCGTGGGCCATCGCAAAGCGAAGTAGAGCAGATCCGTGGCGGCGTTTTCCCACTTCGCACCAAGACAACACCAACAAGGTTAGCGAGAGAAGAAAGGGTAATGGATACAAGCAAGCCCAGTGATGCAGACAACACTTGCGGTTCAATTGGACTGCAATTAAAGCACACAGAGGCTGACAAGTGTCACTGCACACTACAGCAACTTAAATTATTAAAGAGGGGAGCCACATCTTTATGGTTGAAAGAATCCGGCTCAAGCAAACAGGCCAAGGTATTGAGATATAGGAGACAATGTGCATCAAAAGAAAATAGTAATAAAAATGTGAATTACTTTTAATTAACTCATTGACTGGCAGCCATTTTCAGAACAGAGAGTCCCATACTGCCAGAGTTTTTTTTAGCATTTTGATTGATTTTTCAAGGGCCACAGAATAGTTTATGCTATAACTATGTAAACACCGAACACACCAAAAGAAAGAGTAGACCCTTTTCTTTCATCAAGAAAAAAAAAATGTTTCTACCTTATTCCGTTCTTCCTCAACTTGCGTCTCACCGGCGCCATTTCTCGCATAGCGAACCATTACGTTTTTCTTATTTGCCTACAATTTATGCTAATCTCCCATCAAAAGTGGCACAGCCACCTAGAGGGTCAATTTGTTAGTACATACTCTGTCTGGAAGCCGATATTTACGGAAAAGCTTTAGCAGATCGTCCCCCAGCCACTCTCGTTGAAAAACAGTGTATAGACGTCTTTGGCAGTCAACGGTTGTATTTGCATTGACGTCTATAGACGTCTTTGGCAGCCAATGACTTAAAATATTTCTCAATTAAAAATGTATTAATCTCAAAGAGACATCCATCTATCTAGTAGGGTCATGGGGGGGCTGGAACCCTATCTAAGCTGACAATGGGCAGGGTACACCCTGAACAGGTCACCATTCTCTCAAAGAGACATAATAATAAACATATTTGCTTCCTTTTTTAAGCACATTATTACTTGAGAATTAAATAAGGACGGCAGCGAGTCAGTAAGAGCAGTTGTCTACCAATGGGCGGGCAAGCAGTTCAATCCCTGGCTTCATTACAACGGGTTTTGGGGCAAGAGATTGACAACAATCCCACCCACCTTCAAACACTATATTAACTGTCCTACTACAGTGGACAGAACCTTGGACTTGCTGTGTACTAATGCTAAGGGCACAGCTGTTTCCCCCTCCCATCTCTAGGAAAGTCTGCTTACAACCTCATTCATCTTAAGTCCTGCTACATGACAGTGTACAATTGGTTTGAGGAAGCTAAGGAGACACTTCAGGTCAGTTTTAGGTGACTGACCGGACAGCACTGGGAGCCAAACAGGGAGGATATTGATGGGCTCACTGATTGAATCACAGGCCACATAAACCTCTGTGGAAGCCATATTACCAGCCACAATTCACTGGAACCCTAAAAACAATCAATGTGTGACAAAAAAAAACATTAAAGCCATTTTGAACTGTAAGAAGATGGGCTTTCAGAATAGGAAATCCAAGCGATCTTCATGGTGAAGATCAGAAAGGCAGAGGAGAAGTATGGATAGGAAACTGGAGAGGAGACTCGTGACATACAACATGAACAAGGTCTGGCATGAGAACTACAATTGCCTTCAGGTTGACTGGCAGCAGAGAATTTGACAACACAGCCTTACTCCCTCAACATCCATCACCACTGACTCTTCTTTTGTCTACCCTCTCCTCCCTGATTTGTTGAGAAACATCAAGGACTACAGACCAGTAGCAGTGATATAACCCGTCATGAAGATCCTTGCTCTGGAGTAACTCCAGCCCATGTTCAAGCCATTCTGTAGATTGCATATCAACCCCCACTTAGACTTTAAGATGCATTCATCTTCTGGAAACATCTAGACTACCCTGGAAAAGCCACCAAGTACTGTGAGGGTGAGGAGTTTAAGGACGAGTGACGCCAACCGGCTCGATAGACTGATACAAAGGTTGTGATGTAGTGGGTTTGGAGTTTCACCTTCTGGAGGTGATGTCAGAGAGGATTCTGTCACAGATCATAGGAAATTTTTCTAACCCACTCCACAACATGATGGTCTGACACAGGAGCACCTTCAGTCCAATATACAGGAAAACATTCCTGTCTGTGGATATCAGCTCTTTCAGTTCAACCCTTCTCAGAACAAACTGTTTATTATGCCGGTACGTACATTTGACTGCATATAATTTTCCTTGTTTTTTTTTATTAAATGTTTTTATGCATCCTTTCTTTATATTTTCATTTACGCTGGACCTTGATGTATGTTGTTCTGTGCTCTTAATTATATTCTCCATTCTCTTTGTCTGGTATCCATGACCAAAGGCAGATCAAAACATCTCATCATCTAATGTAGATGCAAGAAAACTGACCAACTCAATAAGGGACTCTCCTTTGTCCTAAAAGTAACCAAACTTTTTTTGTCTTAAATCCATTCCTTTTTCTATACCTGCTTATTTTAACCCTTTAAAGCCTGATCCAAGAATAAAACAAAACAGAAAATTACTTTTTTTTTTTTGTTTGAATTCCTTATTTGGCCTTTTAACAAATTATGTAAAAAAAAAAACAGAAATACATTTTTCATATTAATAACTTATTACTATGCGATAAGTCAAGATTATTTGTTGTGTAGTCTTCTGCCCCCTGTTATCAGGTGTATCTGATTGTGTACAATAGGTTTTTGAGAAAAGTTTTTACCATTAAATTATGCAAAAGGTGTCAGAGGCAAAACATTTCAGAAACCGTATGTATCAAATATGATACATTTGGCATTATAGGGTCACATGGTAGCTGGAGCCTACGTCAGCTGTCATTGGACAAAAGGTATGGTATGAAAGGTACTTGTCTATCATAAGGCCATATTACAGACATGATGTCTTCAGATGGCTGAAAGATGCTGGAATCTCCAGAGAGAAGTCATGCATACACAGGGAGAACACGTCAACTCAGACCAAGATTCTGAGATTCAGAACGGGTCCCCTTTTGCCATTAAGTGTCATTACTAGCACATCACCATGCAACAGAAAAAAAAAAACAAGACCAGTCCGTTTATCAGTAGGACACTTTATCTGTGTTGATGTATTCCAAAATTCCGTAGCTACTGTTATGGGGTTACTATGATGGGCAGGTTGGAAGTTTTTTTTTTTATTGTTATTTTTTTCAAAAATGCAAAAAATCTTAATTATACTGTATATTTTTGTATTCTCCTGAGTGTGTCCACACAATATTATTTGATTTTGAGGGTGTATATCCCCCAAAAGGCATTTCATTTCTGAGAATAGCATGATGAACAACAAAATAATTATGCATAACAGATACAAAAGGCCTTTGCTTCATCTATTAAATTGTGATCTTGACTTAATGACTGTTTATTAGAGGAGACATAAGAAAGACTGGTCCTTCAAAACTGGTACATTCATAAAACTTGAATGCATGACATTAACAGGATAAAAAAATAAGTAGAATATATTAACCAGTGGCTAATAACGAGGTCTGAACTTCAAAGTTTTGAACTTTTAAAACATCAAAGCAATGAAGTCAGGATTAAAATTCAGACACTGGAATCCAGCACAAGCTCTGGATCACAGGAATGCATCAGGAGATAAAACCGCTTTGAAAGCTCCGGACCGACGCGGCGAGTTGTGGAGGTGACACCCTCTCCTCTGCGGATCAGAAGGTCAGACAGCAGGGAGACCTTTTCCTTGTCAGACCTGCACCGACTGTACGCCTGTGGACAGAATAGAAAATATTTCAATTTATAGAAAAGAATTGTCTCCGCTTTAAAAAGCATTCCTATCCAAATACAAATAAGCTAGTCACAGCCATTTAAAGAATTAAAAGTATCTCTTCCAGGGGATGAGATCAAATTAGTAATGTGCCCAGGCTTACTGAAGCTATTTTTTGGGTGGGGTTCATTTGTGGGTATTCTTCTTTGAATTTTGTCATGGGAAAGTAAAACGCAGTTTGGATGACCGGAGGAAACCCGATTTCGTCTGTCAGAAAATAATATTTTGTTAATTTAATTTAAAAGATCTTTTTAAAAATGTTTTATAATGATGCGTTGGGTCTTTGTCCAGCTTGACTTCTAATAGCACCAGTACCACCCAATCAGCTTTCTAAATTAAAATGTAACACATTTCACATTAAAATCCTGTTCATACTACAAGTTCCAATTTGAAAAACAGCTTATTTTTTTATCTCAAACAAAAAAACTAAAATAATAATTCAATTATCTGATAACAGTTTGAATTTGGCTTGAAATTCCACCTGGTTGCGGAACAATAGTGATCCAGTTCTTTTGGAAACCCTGCATACCCATGCCATCAGACACAGTTCCTGCTTTTACACTCCCTGTTTTACATGAAATAGTCAATTCAGATCATGATCTCCTTTTAAACTTTACAGACTTCTTTCTTGCTATCCTTTTGATGCATTTGGTTTAAGGATCAGAGTGAGTTCTTTCACTGACAGATATGACCTTATTCTACAAGCTGAAAGACAGATAATCCTATTGGATACAGAAACAAAGAGAAATCACCACAGGCACAGTAATGACTAATCAGACTTCCTTTCCCATTGAGGTGAATTTCTCTGTATGATCTTATGAAGTCTAAATATATGATATGTCTAAATACTTGAGAGTAAACAAGATATCCAAGTCTTTTTGTTGGGGGTTCAGATTAGCCTTTTATAGTTCTGTTTCTACTGAACTTGTTGACTTTCTCTTTGAAAACCCGTAACAGAATTAACACTATAAATAATCCCTTCATCCGTCTAGCCATTTGCTAAACCGCAGGGGGGGCTGGAGCCCTAGCCCAGCTGCCATTGGGCATAGCAGTGTAAGACCTGGACAGGTCAAGAGTTAATCACCGCAAATGGTCAAACACACGCACATTCACTCCTACAGGCAATTTAGAGTCCTCATTTCACCTAACAGCCATGCCTCTGGTGTATGGGCAAAGCCAGACATATTTCCACCAGAGGAGACCAAGAAACCCCCACAGAAGAACAACCTTTGGACAAACTGTTCTATCAGTCAGAGGGGGTCACTTCTGGAACAGCCTCCCAACAAACATCAGGGAATGTCCCACTTATTGCACATTTAAAAAGCACCTTAAACAGTTTCTTAAAAGTTCCCAGTCATGCACTCACTAATTTTATTGTTGTGATGTCATTGTCTGAACGTGTGTCTCTCTGTTTTAACTGATATTGTATTATTTGATCTTGTGTTGTTTGGTCTTCCTGCCTCAGGACGACAGATGTAAATTGGCAACTATGCTAGAATCTGGCTCATTTACAATCTGTACAGAAGTATAAGATTGTTCATTAATGTGCACTGTCCTGATTAGATAAATAAATAAATAAATACATATGAGAACATGTACACTGTGTAAACACAGACAGGCACCTGGCCACTGGGTACATTTACTAAACTGAATTCAACTTAAATCTAATTGTCAACTCACCATTTCAAGACTATAACTGCCTCAACATCTTCTCAAAAATACAAAATTTTTTCACAGAAAGGATTTCAATGCTGTTTTATGCGGTTGCATTAGTAAATTAAAGTAAATGTTTGTCAGCAGCGACGCTAAAAAGTGTACCTTCTTGAGCAGCTGCGGCGAGGGATAAGCTGCCAAGATAGCCTCGGCCATGTCGGGGCTGACTCTGTTGAACTGTTGAATCTGCCTTTTCCACGCTTGCAGCAGGCCCTTCCCCGCTTTATCTACCCGCTGGCCGCCCGCCCACTCGCTTTCCAGGTAGAAGGAGAAACAGGTCCTCTCCCTTTCAAGCCTCAAAACAAACAGGAGGAACATGGGAAATGAATGTTTGATCTGGTGGGAGCTGTGCTCATCAGAGCCATGAAATGCAAAAGGCCGGGGATTGCTCACTTGAAAGGGGCCTCTCCAACGGCTTTGGTTGTCATGGCAATGCGGTCCGAGAACTCCTTCCAGCTAGATAAGAACTGAACAGACACTCGGGTATGAAGCTGGAGATGGACCAGTGCCTGTGAGAGAAAATGCGATGGAGGGAGAAAGTAAATATACGAAGGTAATTTTTCATTCAGCCCAGAAGGGAAGAGAAAAAAATATGTAAATATTTAATAGAATGATTAGTTTATAGGCGGAGGGAATAAGATGTGAACATTAAAGTGTAAACCAAACCAATAAAAAAAAAAACACCACAGTTATAAAGATTAAGCTATATCTATTACACACAATCATCGCAGCATGAGGTGAAATATATCGTTAACTTCATGTTCATTTTAGTTTGTTGCTATTTTCTACACCATAGACAAATCACGTGTGTGCATATAAAAGACTATATACAAAAAGCATAGAAGAAAAAGTCGTGCACTTCTGAAAAATGCAGGTATCTGGTATTTTTGGTTTATCCCCGGTTTATCAACATGTTATCTTTAAAATTTACATTCATATATTTTCTGATCCATAAGATTACTAATCTGATTAATTATTAAGTAATGGATGCTCAAATAATGTTTTTTTTTTATTTGGTAATTAGGATTCTCTTAAAGGGTTCTCTGGAAAAAAAAAAAGATGTCATATTTTGTTATTTAAGTTTTTCTTTTTTTTACCTATTAAGTCTTACAATAGACTATCTGGGCAGCTGGAAATGCTTTTAATGACCAACGAAATGTTCAATTTCCAATTGTATGCATAAAATGTAATTGTGTGGGTGTGATCTGCATGATGCAAAATCATTTTAATATCTGTTCAACTTAAATAATAGACATAAATAGTTATCTTTTTTTATTTAACAAATTTTGAATGGCATTTTCTAGTTTTAGTTTAATTGGATTTATCCTGCAGATAAATTCGTTTGAGACAATAGCAAATTAACTATGATATACTCTATAAGTACTTTTTTTTCCCAATCCTGGGTGTGGCAAAGAAGAATTTCAGGTTTCCAAAAGCACTGAAGATTCTGAGATTATAAAAGGACTCCATTTAGGTTTAACATTATTTAGGAGCCCTTTCGCAAATGTGAGGAGGAAGATAGGGAAGTTGCGGCCCAAGAAAAAACCTCCCCTGCTCCAAAATTGCCTTCAAGCGTGACTAAACTTGTCTGGGTGTCAGTTTTTGTGATTTGATTTGACAAAATAATTGGTTTGGCCTCAATGGCAAAAAAAGTATGTTTTATTTAAAAGGAGCGTTAGGGAAGCATTCGGCTCAAAAAACACTGTATGAACTGTTACATCGCATGACATTTGCATCATATTTTGCAGCTGTTCTATTCTTTTGGACTGGTATAGTTTTACTAACTAAATGACAAAATGACAGAGGCAGTGCTCCAGAATTCCACTACTTAACCTTAAATCCCCAGCTGCACAGAAAGATCTTGGATACAGTTAGTTTGTCCAATGCGTTAATGATCTCGAACGCTCATTACAGCCGGTGGAATGGAGAAAGCAGCCTTGCATTAAATTTGCAAATGGCCATCCCGAAGTCTGATACCGGCGCTGTCGATTATTTGTGCGTGATGTGTAAACGACTCCATGCCAGGAAATCAACTAATGCTCCACGGGATACTGCTGAGGCATCCATCCAAAATTCTGCCAGAAACTTTGTGTAGGCACCCAGAAGCACCTGGCGAATTGGAACTAATTAAAGGCCTAATATTTGCTGTATTTCTGTTGATTTGATTTCCTCCCTGGAATTATTCATTACTTATTGAATTGAATTCTGCATTAAGAACAACCATGCTATGTTTAATGAATTGCAGGATGAGTGTTTAATTCAAATTTGAGGTCTTATCTTGTAGGGAAAGACTCATTTTTCCCTATAATCAATTTTACTAAATGCTAAATTCATCCTTTGAATTTGTAGACATGAATTATTGTGCTCATTTTTTAGTTGCTATTTTTTTGTGTTTTTTGCTTTGACAAAATGGCCGACCGACCTCCTCCACATCAACTCGGGACACCTCGGGTAGCGCCTCCGCTCCATCGTTCTTCCTTTTCTTCCTCGGTTTCCCTCTCTGCGTGTCCTCGCCCGCGACGGCCTGCTTCAACCTCTTCTGCTGCTGTGACTTTTGCAGTCTGGAAACAAGGAGAGAGCAGTCTTCTTTTGCTTAGACGCCCAAAAACAACCTCCCCCATTTGCCTCTTTGCATTGTTTCCGGATGAATCCTCCACCTACGGTGACAGGGGAGATGTTTGCGGGCAGCTTTGTTTTCACGCTAACATACTGCCTGTAGACTCTCTTCCCTTCTTTCTCAGCCCAAACAGTCATTATAGGACTAAAATATCAGCTGGCAGTGGGACTGCTACAAGGTTAATTAAGCCCATGAGTACCACCTCCATCCTGAGAACATTTTATCATTTATAAAACATTTTGGAGTTTAGACTAAAAGTTGAAAAAAGGTTCTTCATGTGAAACAATTCGAAAAGGTTGAATCTTAACTTCATACAGCTGGCCTGATCATTCTCATTCTCTCTAGCTTATTGAGCCAAGGACAAGAGGTAAAAGTTTACCGTAATGACTGTGATTTATTGCACATTTCAATTGTTAACCTCTTTGCAAATGTAGACTTTCAGCATGGTAAAACCTTCCTTTTTTTCTTTTTTTAAATGTTAAACAGCACCAGGTACTGTAAGTCGGTGAACTTCAGAACTATGTACTCTGGACTGCTTTTAGTGGCACTCTGACGTTCATTATGCATATTCATCTAAGCCTGATACTGTTCTGGACCACTTGGAAGCTGAGAAACCGCATTTCACAACTTCAGTTTTCAGTCCAGCAACACTTCACAAATTCTTTCTGTTTTTGTTTTTTTCCAACACATCAGATCCTAAATTTAAAAAAATCTCTTTGCTATCACTAACATATTCCATAACAAATACAGCAAAGAAATCCTAAATAATCAAAGTTCATTTAAAAAAAGCAGCATTTCTCCTTCAGGACTTTATTTTGTGCCAAGGACAAGGAGCCTGTCCAGGAGGGTGTTTTCTTCTGTCCTCTTTATTGTCAGAAAGCTTACTTTCTGACATTAAAGCAGTGAAATTGTGGGAATTGTTAGGTTTCTGTAATTAACTTCAGAGTAGGGTCTGACCTGCTCTGTTTGGAAAGCGCTGTGAGACAACTGTTGTTGTGATGTGGCGCTATATAAATGAAATTTAATTTAATTTAATTGAAATTAAGAGTACACAAGACCCACAAAAGTAAAGAGCAAGACAGCAGTTATTCTCCACAGCAGTTATTCTCCAAGGCAAAAATATAAATCTTTTAAAACTCCACGCAAGTGTGCAAAATAAACACGTGAGCACAGTGTCAGAGGAGATCACTTATTCATTTTCGTAGAATCTTTGCTTTGCATTTGTGTTAGTAATCATTAAATGGTCTTGGTTCTTTCAAGAGCATTTCACACAAGAACTGTTTTGTCAGTAAATGTGACCCTAGAGTTGGAGCATTTCTGCCAAAGCTAGCATGCCCCATCCATAAACCTCACTATTCACATCCGAACTGAATCACCACCTCTTGCTCAAAGGTGCCTATGAACTTTGGTTGTCATGATTGATGACCAGCTGACCTTTTACTAAACAACCTAATTAGATTAAAATATTACTGTCCAACAATGTGGCTCTGATATTTTGTATTTATTTCACGCTGACCGTTTTATTTTATCAAAAGACTCATGTAAAAAAGGGAAACCATCTTTGTTTCCCTCTTAACATCTCAGTTGTACCATCCTCTGCTGAACATAATTCATAGTATTACAACAGAAGTGATGACACTGGTCATTACGACCCATCCGAAGCCTCAGTTTGTCACATCAATACCGTTTCAGATTGTCTGGTCAGTTTGTGTGAGGTTCATAAATAGAAATAAGCAGTTTTGGTGGCTTCTGCTGGTTTCTAAGCCAACCTGTAATACAATGTCACGTTCAGGGACGTCCATCTGTACAGATAAAGATACATTTTTTTACAACAGCATTGTTTAAATCCCTTGTCTCTACAGGGACCCAAGAGGAAAGCAGAGCTGGACTCCTTGCCGCTGCTTTAAATTAATTGATGCTAATTAACCAAATTAGCTGTGAAATGTTCCGAATAACAGAAATAGAAATCTTAATTTGAACCACTTTCTTCTCAGTTCATTTCCTGTTAAATTAAGGGTTTGAGTTATTTAGCAAGTCGCTGCCGTGGATCTGTGAGAACACAACAATGACGAGAGACAAGGGATTCGAGACCGCTGATATGTTTGTTTGGTCCTTATTTACGGCTAATTTGATGCCACTGATCACCTTGGATGTTATCCTGTGGGCTGCTGCTTGGACAGACTGTCCAGCTCTGCCCACATTGTGCTATTATATTTGCAAAGAGTGAAACATTATCGTATAGCTTGTCTGCTCTGACCACAAACACAACATGGAATTCTCTTGCCACACCTATGAAACTCTTCCACCCTGCATAAGAAATACATTTTCATTACGAGTCCTGATGTATAGATCTTCGGATTTAGTTTTTCTGACCTGAAATAGTTCTCTAGCTCAATGACCACCACGCTGAGGGTTTTGCTGGGGTGCCGCATCTGCTGATCCTGGACCCAAGAAGTCAGCGTGGGGCCACAGTCCAACCTGCCATGCCTCTCTTTCTGGGTTAGACAGGGACAAGAAGTAAGTTAAATTCCATCCTAACAGTACTACAGGAGTTACAAGTTGAATTAAAATTGTCATTTTCTGTCCAATCTTGTGTAATACTAATGGATTTTTACAAGTCTCAATTTAAAAAATTAGGTTAGACTGTGTAAATGTAAAACAAAAAACATTATGCAATGATTTGAGAGAAAATAATCATTTTAAAACAACAACATTTGACAAGTGCATTAAAAATATCTTCATTTTGATGGCAAAATGTCTTGCAAAAATATAGATAGATAAATTGATTTAAAAAATGCTAGAATTTATTTTTTAAATTTTTGAGGAACATGTGGCATCTAATCAGTTTTGGTAACATGACGTTAGAAAAAGAGCACCTTAGAGAGGCCGAGTCTCTCAAAGGAGCAGATAAAGGCTCTGTAACTCATCAATCTATTGAATAATTTCAGAAAAACAAAATGTAAAGACTTAAATTCCATAACCTTGAATTCATATAACCTTTTTAAATCTGAGATCCTGGAGACCTTTATGTGAGAAGGTTATAGCTGAACTTCACCACTGGATCACTATCAGTGATTGGCGGTAGCTTTAACTATGCGTCTGACATCTAACACTTACAGAAGTCATCTGTGATTAAATGTTGTGCAATCGACAATGGCAACAATACTAAAAGAGCATAAAGCATCGATTCCAACAGGCCTCATATCTGAAAAATGCTGGTGCTGGAAGGACCTGCCTGCAGTCCATATGTGTAATTGTCTAAAAGCATTTGCCTCAAGAACAAAATATGATAAACAAGGACTGTTGAACAGTTCGACTCCTGAATCAGATAAGAACGGGGCAAAATTCCTCTCAAAAAGGTCCCGTAGCTGGTGTCAGTTCCCAGATGTTTACTGTTGGAAAGGTAATGCTGCAGTGTTAAAAAAGTACCCTTTTTGAGTGTTGTTGCCTTAAAATGACGTTTTCATATGATTACACTATGTTTTTATTCTTTTGATAAAAAATATCCCAATGGTGGCTAAAATTTATTGCGTGAAAATAATCCCCTGAATGTTTATCTTGAAGACTACTTTTTGTAGAGGTTAAAAAAAAGGTAATAGGATCTTTTTTTTGCAGTTTGTACATTAAAATCAACCCAACCTTTCCTCACCACTTTATTACTGAGATGTAATGCAATTCCCTGCTCACTGGAGGAGGCACAATTTCCCTCCTGTAGCTACTATAGCCTTCCCATATCCCATCAATTGTCACGGTTGTTCCTTCTGGGCTCTTTGTCAAGCAGCGGGGTTGTTTTAATTGCATTTAAAGCAGCATCAGCAGTGCCAACACACCTGAATGTAATTGTGGATCAACGTAATGAAGTCCTCCACTGTCATCTGCATAACCACCTGGGCCTCCGGTACACACTCTCCTTCATCCAGCTGAGAAAACGGGAGGGGTTGGGGTTAATGTGTTTGTTTTTACTGCTAAATATGTGCTCACAAAACTTGTCGCTATACATTTATATCCACTGTAACTCTGTAATCACGCTTCACCTTAACTAAAATGGGGCACTGGGGAGATGTGCCTTTTATCACCTGTGCACGTGGAGCTCTCCTCATCCAGCTAACACTGCGTGGAATAGGTTGCTTCTCGATGGCGCAGCTACAACCCAGAGCCTGCACCGAAGCCAGCAGGGTCCCGCCTCCCTCCAGCTGCAAAAGAGCTGCGAACAGAAATGCAGTCGGGGCAGCGATGCCCATTTTTTGCTCCCTGATTTACTCCAACAATGGCGAAATAGTGCAAATAAGTTGTTTGCCATGGTTCTGCTCGAGGTTTCTGCCTGTTAAAAGGACGTTTTTCCTTGCCTGTGTCGCCTAGTGCTTGCTCATGGTGGGAATTGTTGGGTTTCTGTAATTAACTTCAGAGTAGGGTCTGACCTGCTCTGTTTGGAAAGCGCTGTGAGACAACTGTTGTTGTGATGTGGCGCTATATAAATAAAATTGAATTGAATTTAATTTAAAATGAATCACAATTAATCAGCTGAATATGACCAGCTCTGATGGATCCTTTTATACAGTTGCCAAGTATCTGGTTTTATTTTATGATTTCTTCTTACCTGGATCAACAGCTACCACCATATGTTTGATACACTCCTCTGGCCTCAGAGATTTGGCAGCCTCCATCACAGCTTTTCTCTCTGCTTTCTGTCTCTCTTGTTCTTTCCTGAGTGCCTCCCTGTCCCACTGCTGTCTCTCTTTGGCCTGCCTCCTCTTCAGAGCCTCGTCCCCAGAGGCCGAGATCCCCTCCTCTGTCCGCTTTGTCAGTTTGCTCTTGGCAGAAGAGGTGTCTGAGAGAGGTTTGAGAACAGGCCGGGAGAAATCCTGCAGCTCCTCCGAGCTCGCCGTTCTGACCTGATGCAAGCTGCGAGGGCGCTCTGACTCAGAGAAACCTGTCTGGCGGGAAGCCTGCAAACTGGCAAGCTGAGATGGCAAACGCTGCTCAGAATCTCCCCCTTTTGGGACAGAGGAGGAGGCGCTGACCACATTGTCCTGTCTGTGTTTAAGTCTCTGTGCCAGAGGGACATAAGGCGAGTCCTCGTCGGAGTCGCTGCTGATCATCATTATCTCAGCCCTACGCGCTTGCGCACCAGCGTTCTTTTGAGCAAAAACGCCAGTGTTTTCGACATCAGAGTCTTCCAGGTCAACTAAGTCTGGCTTTTCTGGGGTCCCCTGAGAGGCTTGGCGGAGGTGTCGACTTGATTGAAGGAAGTCAAACACAGGCAGCTCCTCATCTGAGTCACTGGTGTGGTCACTGCAGCTGTCCATGCTGTCATGTCAGAAAGAGATTCTGGACATAAGAGCAAGAAAGGTCAGTATTGATTATAAGGCCATATATTTTTTCACACAAAGACAAAAAAACAAGATCAGACTTTTAAATAATATCATCAAATGCAATATTTGTATCTAAATTAATTGGACAAGATACAAAACAAACAAAGAAATATAATATATTTACCAATGCTCTGGTAGTGTCTAACTTTTTTTTTAAATTGGGCTCACGATCCACATTGCGCATTCATTTTCTTAAGCCCACAACCACATCATTGTAGTGCTAAAAGATAAAGAAAGCCAATTACAGAGGTCGCTTAGTGTAACCTTATCGGTTGTTACCGAATTAATTGAGTGTATAACTTCGAGCTTTGTACTTCCATAGAACTTGCAATAAATAATTACTTTTTAAATTAAGTTTAGCACGGCAATAAGATTTCTTTAGTCAAGCAAAGGCGAGATAAAATGGGCAAGCAAAGTCCAATTTATCCGACTACAGCCATCAAAGCACAATGGCGAGCAAAACAGAAGTTAGCAAACGCCAGATAAACTGGATGTGACATTACTCACTGCCCGCCAATAGGTACGACATGTTTATGAGCGAAAAATGAATTATGGGGAAAGATCATTTAAATAAACATCAGTTAGTTGCATAATTGTTTAGTAACAGACGTCAACGATATGTTTATACCTACAAACACGGGTTGAATGTCGCGGGATTCTGTTTGATTTCCCTGGGTAATGCTGCGTTCACAGACTATAGGACATCTTACTTTCCTAAAAAAAAAAACCCTTCCATCTGTCGTTCACATTTTACTACGGTTTCATCCCATTACGTGTCGGTTAGCCTCATGGTGTTTTACACCAAAGCAGTCTGTTTTCATTTTGTGATCACGAATCAAACACTATTTTTAGATTTTTTTTCCGACTATGAGCAACTGTAAACTTTGCTGAGCTCTTGATTACTGATTTTTCTTGGGTACCATAATGATGTTACTTTTGTCAGATTTTTTTTTACGAAGTTAGGACTTGAATATATTGCTTTCTATTTTCACTGTTACGAATGTAATTTTATTTTCGTTTAAATTTAATCGGAATTTAATAGTCGTGCTGACCAATTCCAATTAAACAGTAAATTAAGAATTTCATAAATTGTTTTTGAATTACTAAGGAACGTGAATGGAGCAAAAGGATCCGGATGTGACGCAAAGCACTTGACGGCCAAGTGACCTCATTCAAAATGGCAGCACTGGCGTCCTTGATGCTCAAGTCCAGAGGAGGTATTTAACATTTAGTGCACAGTTTTAAAAGCCTAAGCATGTCTATTATTAATATCACTTTTTGATATATCGTTTAGGGGAATGCTTTTGTTAATTTTGTGTATCAAACAAGGTATATCGTATGCTAACAAGCCTAGCCCCGATGTCTCGTGTGAAATGGCGCTGAATGTCAACACTTCTGACAGCAAGTTAAAACATTAAAGTACATTGTTCAGCGTTAAACAAGTACTTTTGTTGGAATCATTGCTTAATATACTGGCTATTTTTTTAAATTAATTTTGTTACTGTTAGGAGGTCATCAAGTTCTCATTTGGCTTCACTATAGTCGTGAGTTCTACTTATTTATTAATGAGACATTGTGCCTGTAGTGAAGCCATTAGATTAAATATTGTTAGTTTTACTGGAGGAGATACTGTCCATTGAATTGTTAAAGCTTATCCAACATGTTTTGTCTAACTTACTGGATTTTAAGTGAGAGTACATTTAGATGAATGAAATGAGAATTTAAACAATGTTCCCGGTTGCTTTGACCTAACACTAATTTGCCTGTCCTGCTGTTTTTTAGGTCAATTAGTGCCCACTCAGTCTTATCTTCTGGACTCAGTGAGGTTTGCTTCCAAGAAGGCTGGTGGCAGCTCCAAGAACATAGGAGGAAAGAGTCCTGGCCGAAGATATGGCTTCAAGAAACAGGATGGTAAAAAAAAAACAAAGACCCAACCCAAATCTGTCATGTATTCCAAAATGTGCATTGACCCATTCATTAAGAATTTTTCATCCTAATTTTTGAACAGGGTACATTACTCTAAAGTCGACTTATTAGTGATAGTGCTGGGTCGACCTATATTCTGATTGGTTGACCAATTTGCCTGGTAATTTCATACAGTCTGTGGTTAATATCATCTGGAGGAAAGTACAAAGGGCTAATGGGGGTGTTCAGAGCACCCCTCTTTCACAGGTAACAGCCTGTCTTCAGAAAAGACCCCCTTGTTTTCACTATTTTGGATTTGACCAACACACTATACAGTTAGATTCAAGCACTCTTTTTGCCCACTGTTTGTAGGTTATGTTTTGATCCTATGCTTTATTTTGCAGGAATACACAGCTTTATTTTGTTTGCACTTGTTTAATAAAAATTGTTTTTAATTGCCTTCTTGTGCTGTATAAGTATATTTTCTGTTATCACGGTATGTTATATTGCACAGATACATGTGATTCAAAATGCTGTCAGACAAGGTTTCAGTCGACCAAGAATTTCTTTGGTCGATTACAGCTCTAGTAGATTGTAATAGTAAAATGGCTCGTGTAATACATTTCTAACCTACTTGATTTTGTAAAAGGAAAAAAGTGGATCTAGACTGAACTATCGGCATGAAATAATATACTGGTAGATATTAACTTAGACTTTTAGTGCAGCTTTCCTAAAAATAACCCTCAATTCTTTATATAATGCCAGAAATTTTGAAGCGGGTGCAGGGATCTGTTGAAATATGTGCAAAGGTAAATGAAAATGCACAATATCACGCAAAAACCTGTTGTGAACACCTATAATTTTCACACTGCCTTTGCATTTCTACATTGATTAATATATGTCATAAACTCGACTATTACCCAGCAAATTGTCTAACGGCTACATATTTTTGGGGATTTTACAGAGAATACCTCTTTGAATCTTTGATCTGTCTTGTCTTTCTCTGACTTGCATGTGAGACAATTATGGAAAATGTGTTACAAGATCCAGTGAATTTACAGGAAGCTCTGGACAGGACTCCATCAAATACATTTTTTTTAAAAAGGAATTGGTAAACATGTCTGATGCAGCTGAGGTCTTCATATTATTCCTCTCTCTGTTTACAAGGTAACTTTGTCCACGCTGGCAACATATTGGCGACACAGAGGCAGATGAGGTATCACCCGGGAGCACATGTGAGTTACACTTTGACAATTTTAAACTAGCGCTTCTTTTCAAAGTTAGCCCCAGTGTGTGAAAATGTCCTGACCGTAGGTCATCTCTTTGAGCAAAACCACAGAACTAATGGCTGCTTCTAAACATGAGAGCTCAGTTCTTAGTCTTTTGAAAGTTTTCTTGAAATTAATCTAAGTTTTTAAATGGACACAATTGTACCTGTATTGATTGTTCATTTCTAACCCACAAGAGCCCACTGTGACACAAGTGTAACAACCTATTTAAACTAAACTAAACAGGAACCTCTGGACATCACAGATCTTTTATAATGGATCCATGGATTTCTCCTTTGGGAAAATGGGTCCGGGCTCTTATTTGTTAAAAGTAAAGTGCATGTCATATTTAAATTTTAAGTCTTAACAAGCAGCCTACAAGTGTCCAAACACTGAAATGCGTCATTTCACCAATGATAATGAACTATTAAGTCACACCTAGAACTGATTGTTCCATTTACTCATTATTATGTAAGTTATACTCCGTGGAGTTTACATACATGTGCCATCCACATATTGTAAAGACATAGAATGGTATCTGGATTGTATCCACGACACAGCAATATGCGTTTTATTCTTCTTGTTCATTCTGCGTGGTTTCGTTCTTCCCTCCTTGTAATGAAGGTTGGAATGGGAACCAACAAGACTCTGTTTGCTTTGGAGGACGGTTACGTCAGGTTCACCAAGGACGTCTACGTCCCGCCCCCCCGCAGCTCCGAGGCCACCTCCGTCATCACCAAGCTGCCCAAAGGAGCCGTGCTCTACAAGACCTTCATCAACGTCCTGCCCGTCGGCCAGGAGAGCAAGTTCAAGTTGGTGGACATGGTCTGAGCTGATGGTGACATTTGGGGTCGGGTTGTGTTCAGGAAGGAAGAGGGATCACTCCGCCTGACACTCTGATCTGAGCCAAGCAAGAATCAGAGGAAACCTGCTGAGCTCTCATTAGCCCCCACGTTATGTGGCTTATGAATCATAAAACTTTCTCAAGCGGACTTGAACAGATTGTCCATTTCTAACTTCCGCACTTCACAAAACCATCTGGAGTGACGGTTAAACCGACATCCTGTTGCATTCAGAATGGATTCGTATTACACCAAAGCACCGGAAAGCTGAGATTGGTGATGGGTAAAAAGGAAAATATGTGAAGAATTGATTCATTGATATGGAATTTATTTGTAACAGTTGCTTCATAGAAGACGTCCTAACCTCAGACTGCTGTAATGTAATGTATTTAAGGGTGTTTTTTTTTCACAAATGACTGGATTGTGTGACAGTGTTATTACATGGCCTGTGCATTCTCTGAGCTACTTTTGCATTTATCTCTTTGTCTTTTTGTTCATGGTATGTCTGAAATAGGATGTTCTTTGGATAATATGAAGCTGTACACATCATGCACCAATACAACAACTTCACTGTTCGGAAGAGGTTTAGTTTTTTTTTCCAATGCCCTTATATTTCCTATTTTGCCCTACAACCTGGATTAAAGACAGATCTGATTTACAGATACGTCTTAACGGTGTGCAGCAATGTAGAAATAACATTCGCTTTGGATACGACAACATAAACAAAACATCCCTTGTTATATTATGTGGTTCTCAGTTTGTGTTGAGTTGTTTCTAAATAAGGACCCTATGCCATCATAAAATAATTAGATTTTTCTTTTTTGACAGAATTTTTCACACATATTTCTGGCAATTCCAGCTTTAGTTTTTTAAACTGAAGTCTTAGGATAGATATAGATATGTTGATATAAAAAAATAGGTGCATTACTAAGAGTGACCACTAGATGTCAGACAATCCCTCCTACATCACTCTGTCCATCTGGAGCTTCTGTGATGAAATCTGTACTATACATTAGCAAGATATATTTTTAAACGGAAATCATTCAATTGAATAAAGTTACAAACTGTTTTTGTTTTTTTTTATGTTTGAAGACAGTCAGGTTTTGGTCTTACCTCAAACTCTCAAGTACAAGCTTTGCTCCAATACATGTGGGCTTGTAATGCAAAACTGTTATCTGGGGTAAAAAAAGTGTGGGGAATGCCTGGCGCAGCAGATGGGAGGTGGAATTGTTGGCAGTGGAATGAAGGGGAGATATCGGGAGTTTACATACCTGGCATGTAAGCCTTTAAGGGATGTTTGCGTCTAAGCAATCCACCATCTAAACAGTTAACATGGAGATCATAAAGCATGAAAGTTTCCTAGGAACTAGCATAAGCATTTGTACCTTCGATATAGATGGTGCAAGTTTTTTAAAGAAACATGACGTTTCTGAACACCTGGTTATTGAGTGATTTTATTGGTATTCAGTTGAGGGCAGTTTCTTTGATCAATAGATACGCAAACACCAGCTGCGTGATCTCAAAGTGGAGTTGAGCTCCTCTCGACTCTCTAGTTAGCGTTTCATACGTCCAGTGTTTGACCTTAGTTAAAGCGTAACCCTTTTGCTGCCATACTTTCCTTTTTTAGTCGTACCTTTTCAGGTCAGCCGAGTTACTGAAGAAGTTAAGAATGGCATGACTGAAGTAGTTCTCCAACTGAGGCCTCTCCGGCTGAAGCTTTGTGCAAATATTTGGTCAACGTGCACATCAGGGTGTTGTCTTAGACGTTTACTCATGTTGGTAAAAGGGCATGGTCAAATAACTCTTCAGTATCTACAGTACAGACCAAAAGTTTGGACACACCTTCTCATTCAAAGAGTTTTCTTTATTTTCATGACTATGAAAATTGTAGATTCACATCGAAGGCATCAAAACTATAAATAAACACGTGGAATTTTATACTTAAAAAAGTTTGGAACAACTGAAAATATGTCTTATATTCTAGGTTCTTCAAAGTAGCCACCTTTTGCTTTGATTACTGCTTCACATACTCTTGGCTTCTCTGGATGTTTTTCAATAGGTAGTCACCTGAAATGGCTTCCAACAGTCTAGAAGGAGTTCCCAGAGATGTGTAGCACTTGTTGGCCCTTTTGCCGTCACTCTGTGGTCCAGCTAAACCCCAAACCATCTCGATTGGGTTCAGGTCCGGTGATTGTGGAGGCCAGGTCATCTGCCGCAGCACCCTATCACTCTCCTTCTTGGTCAAATAGCCCTTACACAGCCTGGAGGAGTGTTTGGGGTCATTGTCCAGTTGAAAAATAAATTATGGTCCAACTAAACGCAAACCGGATGGAATAGCATGCCAATGTAAGATGCTGTGCTCTAGCCATGTTGGTTCAGTATGCCTTCAATTTTGAATAAATTCCCAACAGTGTCACCAGCAAATCACCCCCAAACCATCACACCTCCTCCTCCATGCTTCACAGTGGGAACCAGGCATGTAAAGTCCATCCGTTCACCTTTTCTGCGTCGCACAAAGACACGATGGTTGGAACCAAAGATCTCAAATTTGGACTCATTAGACCAAAGCACAGATTTCCACTGGTCTAATGTCCATTCCTTGTGTTCTTTAGCCCAAGCAAGTCTCTTCTGCTTGTTGCCCGTCCTTAGCAGTGGTTTCCTAGCAGCTATTTTACAATGAAGGCCTGATTCACACAGTGTCCTCTTAACAGTTGTTCTAGAGATGTATCTGCTGCTAAAACTCTGTGGCATTGACCTGGTCTCCAATCTGAGCTGCTGTTACCCCGCCGTTTCTGAGGTTGGTGACTCAGATTCATTTATCCTCTGCAGCAGAGGTGACTCTTGGTCTTCCTTTCCCAGGGGGGGTCCTTCATGTGAGCCAGTTTATTCGTAGCGCTTGATGGTTTTTGCTACTGCACTTGGGGACACTTTCAAAGTTTTCCCGATTTTTCGGGCCTTAATTTCTAGAAGTAATGATGGCCACTCTTTTTGCTTTACTTAGCTGCTTTTTTCTTGCCATAATACAAATTCTAACAGTCTATTCAGTAGGACTATCAGCTGTGTATCCACCTGACCAAAGCAGTAATCACAGCAAAGGTATATACTTTGAAGAACCTAGAATATAAAACATATTTTCAGTTGTTTCACACTTTTTTGTTAAGTATATAATTCCACGTGTGTTAATTCGTAGTTTTGATGTCTTCAGTGTGAATCTACAGTTTTCATAGTCATGAAAATAAAGAAAACTCTTTGAATGAAAAGGTGTGTCCAAACTTTTGGCCTGTACTGTATTTTGTTTAATTAGAAAAAAAGATTATTGACTAAAGATGTGACCCAGTTTTGCAAGTAAGTACACAACTTAATCTTTAATCTTTACCTCCAAATACAAAGGACTTTGACCCACTATGACATTTTCAACCATATTTGCATAAACACCAAGCAGCCCGTTGGTCGTTACTCACATTTCACAAAATGAATAATAATAAATTAATCTTGATGTGGACCCGTGATGTTTTAAAGATGGATTTTAATCTTTAAACCATGTTAAATTAATTCAAAGACCAGCCAGGTTAAATCTGAATGTACAAAATAGTTCTAATTGACATGTGAGCAAGCTTGTTCCCACTTCAGCTGAGTAACTCTCTTTCCAGATGTTCAACTGGCTTGAGAATATTTTCACACAAATTTGTCTATTTTGAATAAATAACTTCCCATCAGGAAGTCTACAACCAGTGAAAGGGAAAGTCCCAGCTTCTCATACTGTCTTCTGAGATCATTTGTCAAATAAATAAATACTGGAAAGTGTGCCGGTGGACTTGGGAACTCCTCGGTTGAATCTCGAGCTCAAAGCCAGAGATGAAATTTTGCGAAGAGATTGTTTTAAACTCTCAAAATACAGAAACTAAGGAAGCACTTGTCAGATACACACATCCATCAACACGTGATGTGTAATGAACACTTAAAAAGGTGTTTTAGTGAAATTATGGCAGCCTGTATGCTTTTACTTTGTAGTTTCCGTTTTTAATTATTACATGCTTTTATTTTTGTGCTCCCGGGCCGGAAGTAGGTCTAACGGAAAAAACGGTTAACTTTGATACACGGCTCAGTAAAGGATAGACGAAATACCTTACAACTTCGAAGATGAAACCACACATTTATTAAGCACCTGGACAAAAGTGGGAAAAAAGTATGTTACAAAAATATGTTTTGTGTGGAGTTATGTGTGTTTTGCTGATTGAAATTATTGTTTATTTTCTATATGACTGTTTAGGTTACCGTCAATTAAGACTTTAGCATTAAGACTTTAGCATCTTTTGTTTTATTTTATGGATAAAACTTGAGCTGATTTTGTTTTGTCTGTTCATACCTCTTAGGGTGTTTCATGAGGGATTCCTGTGCAGAAACATATGGCTGCCCAAGAATACATTTTAATCTTTGAAACATCAGTACGCTTCACCATTGTTTGGCCGGGTTCGCTACATGATTTTTTAGCTCAGAAAACACAAAGGACAAAACTGCTGTATGTTGGGTGGTTCCGAAACGTTTTTGTTAATTTGAGATTAAATTTAAGATTCAATATGTATATATTGTACTCATATATATATTGGTACTCAAACTGAAAATTAACGAGGCCAAGAACAAGTACAGGAGAAAGCTGGAGAATAAACTCCAGCATAACAACATGAGGGAGGTGTGGAGTGGCATGAGAACCATCACCGGCTTCCAGAAGACCGGCAACATGGGGTTGGATGGCCGAGTGGAACGAGCCAACGAATTGAACCTATTTTTCAATAGATTTGATACTGAGGCCCATCCCCCACAAGCCTCTGCTGATGGTTTCCCAACGACGACCACTCCTCCTTCCCCCACTCCTCCTCCTTTCAGACGCCCTGTCTTCTCCTTACCACCTCATTCCACACCCACCTACTCCACCCCTCCCCCCTGCTCTGCATCGTGTCCTCCACAACCTGAGGACTTATCCCCTCCCAC